AATAATAAATCAACATAAGGAGAAAGTTAGAAAGAGACAGGCACTTTGTCGTATCAAGAAAAGGAACGAGCAAAGTCTTATTCCTACAACATCCAACCATCTTGAAGATACTGGAAATAAAAAATTTGCTTCAACATCCAATCATCTTGAAGATACTGAAAATCAAGAACAAGTTGAACATTACTGTGGGCCATTAAAATCTATTTTATTATTTTTTTTAGATTCCTACACTAAATACCATTCAACAAAACCAAACAATGGAACGTTTCATACTACCAAAATCTAAAGAAGGCATTATTGCTTCAACAAGAATAAATTTTATATTTTTAAGATGTGATTCCGAAATATATATTTATTAGGTGAGGGGCTATTCTAATATTTTCCATTATTTTTTATAAATATGTTTATGAAGTATATATTTAGTAATTTTATTTTATGTCCACAATAATAAATACTTTAAACTAAACTTATTTTTATAAAATTGAGTAATTCTTATATTTTTAAATTTTAATAATAAATCAACATAAGGAGAAAGTTAGAAAGAGACAGGCACTTTGTCGTATCAAGAAAAGGAACGAGCAAAGTCTTATTCCTACAACATCCAACCATCTTGAAGATACTGGAAATAAAAAATTTGCTTCAACATCCAATCATCTTGAAGATACTGAAAATCAAGAACAAGTTGAACATTACTGTGGGCCATTAAAATCTATTTTATTATTTTTTTTAGATTCCTACACTAAATACCATTCAACAAAACCAAACAATGGAACGTTTCATACTACCAAAATCTAAAGAAGGCATTATTGCTTCAACAAGAGTAAATTTTATTATTTTAAGATGTGATTCCGAAATATATATTTATTAGGTGAGGGGCTATTCTAATATTTTCCATTATTTTTTATAAATATGTTTATGAAGTATATATTTAGTAATTTTATTTTATGTCCACAATAATAAATATTTTAAACTAAACTTATTTTTATAAAATTGAGTAATTCTTATATTTTTAAATTTTAATAATAAATCAACATAAGGAGAAAGTTAGAAAGAGACAGGCACTTTGTCGTATCAAGAAAAGGAACGAGCAAAGTCTTATTCCTACAACATCCAACCATCTTGAAGATACTGGAAATAAAAAATTTGCTTCAACATCCAATCATCTTGAAGATACTGAAAATCAAGAACAAGTTGAACATTACTGTGGGCCATTAAAATCTATTTTATTATTTTTTTTAGATTCCTACACTAAATACCATTCAACAAAACCAAACAATGGAACGTTTCATACTACCAAAATCTAAAGAAGGCATTATTGCTTCAACAAGAGTAAATTTTATATTTTTAAGATGTGATTCCGAAATATATATTTATTAGGTGAGGGGATATTCTAATATTTTCCATTATTTTTTATAAATATGTTTATGAAGTATATATTTAGTAATTTTATTTTATGTCCACAATAATAAATATTTTAAACTAAACTTATTTTTATAAAATTGAGTAATTCTTATATTTTTAAATTTTAATAATAAATCAACATAAGGAGAAAGCTAGAAAGAGACAGGCACTTTGTCGTATCAAGAAAAGGAACGAGCAAAGTCTTATTCCTACAACATTCAACCATCTTGAAGATACTGGAAATAAAAAATTTGCTTCAACATCCAATCATCTTGAAGATACTGAAAATCAAGAACAAGTTGAACATTACTGTGGGCCATTAAAATCTATTTTATCATTTTTTTTAGATTCCTACACAAGATACCATTCAACAAAACCAAACAATGGAACGTTTCATACTACCAAAATCTAAAGAAGGCATTATTGCTTCAACAAGAGTAAATTATATATTTTTTTTAATTTGTATTGTATGTTAGCTGATAGCCCGTCAAGAATGACGAGGAATCAGATTTTTCCTATCTTATAAGATGTGATTCCAAAATATATATTTATTAGGTGAGGGGCTATTCTAATATTTTCCATTATTTTTATAAATATGTTTATGAAGTATATATTTAGTAATTTTATTTTATGTCCAAATAATAAATATTTTAAACTAAACTTATTTTTATAAAATAGAGTAATTCTTATATTTTTAAATTTTAATAATAAATCATCATAAGGAGAAAGCTAGAAAGAGACAGGCACTTTGTCGTATCAAGAAAAGGAACGAGCAAAGTCTTATTCCTACAACATCCAACCATTTTGAAGATACTGGAAATAAACAATTTGCTTCAACATCCAATCATCGAAGATACTGAAAATCAAGAACAAGTTGAACATTACTGTGGGCCATTAAAATCTATTTTATTATTTTTTTTTAGATTCCTACACAAGATACCTTTGGTGCAATATCTAAGTATAATTTTTTCAGTGATTCTATATCAATAAAAACAAATCAAGTTAAAAATTTTAATTTATGACAATAAATAAATTTATTTAAATTAGTTTCTACGGATCATATTGCCGAAATGTGCCATTCAACGGACTCTTAATCTACCCAAATCAATAAAAACAAACGAAGTTAAAAAATTTAATTTATGTTATCAAATAGATTTTTTTAAAATTAGATTCCACGATATATATTACCGAAATGTACCATTCAGCAGAATCTTAATCTACCAAAATCAATCAAAATAAACCAAGTTAAAAATTTTAATTTATCTTAATAAATTAATTTTTTTAAATTAAATTCCACGAATCATATTACCAAAATGTACCATTCATTCAACAGAATCTTAATCTACCCAAATCAATAAAAACAAATTAAAAATTTTAATTTATGTTAAAAAATAAATTTATTTAAATTAGATTCCACGGATCATATCGCCGAAATGTGCCATTCAACAGAATCTTAATCTACCCAAATCAATAAAAACAAACAAAGTTAAAAATTTTAATTTATGTTAACAAATAAATTTATTTAAATTAGATTCTACGAATCATATTCCGAAATGTACCATTCAACAGAATCTTAATCTACCCAAATCAATAGAAACAAACAAAGTTAAAAATTTTAATTTATGTTAACAAATAAATTTTTTTAAATTAGACACTACCAAAATCTACTATTCACCAAAATCTTAATCTACCCAAATCAATAAAAACAAACCAAGTTAAAAATTTTAATTTATGTATAACAAATATTTTAATAAATATAAATTTCTGAATCACATCTCATAAGATAGATAAGAAAATTTTTGATTTATCCATCATCAGGGGTTATTCAAAATTTATTATTTATTTATGAAGTATATGGTTATTAATTTTAATTTATGTCCACAATAAAAAATATCATTCATCAACTAATAAAAAAGAAAATTCTTATTTCACTATCATCTTGACGGGCAAAATATAAGATAAAATAAGTATGTGCTACATAATCGTAATTACCCATGGAATATTTTAGAAAAAATTATTATAAGCCTGGCATATGTTTACATCAGAGCCGGTGTATTGATTGTGAAATCAATACCCATTGTAACTTCAATACCGTATTGATATAATTATAGATTCAATACCGTAGTGATATATTGCTATTGTAGAATCAATACCGTATAGATTTTTAAGATGTTTGCATCGCTTCAAATATATTGGCGACCATTAAAATTATAAAATATTTATTTATTATATATTTTTTCATCGCTTTATAGATATTGGCGGCCATTTTCGATTTGTAAAAATTTTATTTAAAATAGATTTAATAGTTTTAAATATATTAAAATGATAAATATGATTTTCTATTCTTTTATATAATTTATCAGGGAATTTATTTATTTTACAATTCTTGATATCCTATATATTTTATATTTGTTTACTCATTATTTGTAATTTGTGAAGTGCTATATAATTGTTGATTCAAAGTTTTATAAATGATATTATGAATTCAAATAAATTAAATGGACCTTATTGATTGAGTTTATAAATTTTGTGATTCATATATAAATGTCGAATCAAAGATTTATAAAAATCAATAACGTATTGATTTTTGATGGTATTGATTTTACAATTACACCGGGTCTGCAGGTCTCTGAATAATCACAAAAATATTAAATTATATGTATAATTTTTAGCAGGCCTCAAATTTATTTTAGATAAATATTTCTGCACAACAATCATTAGTACAAGAACATTATTGTGGATTACTCAACACTAAGTGCGATTATTGCGATTCTCTAAATTTTTTATTGGAAAAACCCACAGATGGCAAATTTAAGAATTGCTGTCATAAGGGTAAAGTTAAGATACCATCAATCCGATATATTCCTTTTTTACTAGACCTTTTATCTAATCCTAACAATGAATTTCATTCAAACTTTATGAAATATATAAGATCTTATAATAGTTCACTTGCTTTCGCATCCATGGGAGCACAGATTTCTAATAGTTTAAACCCAGGCCCATATTGATTTAGAGTTCATGGGCAAATTTATCACCGAACATCTCATTTATATCCTTCCACTGGGATGCCTCCTAAATCTGCACAACTATATGTCCTTGAGACAACCCAGGCTGTTAATGGCAGGTTACACATGAAAGAAAATTCTGGTTGCAATGAGGATCTCTTAAAAAGATTAGATATTTTAATAAGACAGAATAACCCATTTTCTATTAGTTTTAAAACCTTGGGAGAAATTAAGAAAGAAGAAAAAAATAGGGCTATTCAAGAAAATCGTCCAGTTCAAAAAATCAATATGATTTTTCGTGCAGATCGCTCAAGTGACAAGCGAAGATATAACATTCCTAATATAGATGAAGTAGCTATGATTTTTACAAATGATGATGGTGAACCCCCATTTAAACGGGATATCAAGGTCTATCCTCGAGTTGATGGAAGTGATCTGATAAATATAAATAAATTAAGCCCTAATCTTGATCCAATGGTATATCCTCTATTATTTCCTTTTGGTGACCCTGGTTGGAAACCAGATTTAAAGGGCGTACAAGGGCAAATATCTCACTACTACAGTTTAAAATATTTAGATTAGCAATTCGTGAAAATGAATTCAACCCAATCCTTTTTGCTGGGATTATCACAACAATATATTGTTAATTCCTATTTACAGGTCGAGGCGAATAATTTAAATTTTATTAGACAAAATCAGCCAAAATTACGAGTAGATGAATATTCTGGATTAATGGACTACTTGGAAACAAAGTCAAACAATATAATTCCCGGCAAAGCAGTAATATTACCATCATCTTTTCAAGGTTCTCAAAGAAATATGCGAGAACGCTATCACGATGCAATGGCCATTGTGCTCAAATTTGGCAAACCTGATTTGTTTATTACTTTTGCATGCAATCCTAATTGGCTTGAAATTAAGGAAAATCTATTTCCCGGGCAAAGTCCTACAGATAGACCAGATTTAATAGCCCGTGTTTTTAAATTGAAATTAAATGAATTATTGTTCGATATAAATAAAAAAAATTTATTTGGTAAATCTATGGCTTTTATATATACAATCGAGTTCCAAAAAAGAGGTTTGCCTCATGCCCATATACTTATTATTTTAAACGATGATAGCAAAATTGAAACATCTCAAACTATAGATAAATTTGTTTGTGCCGAAATGCCAGATAAAATTCTCGATCCTAAACTTTTTCAGATTGTTACCCATTTTATGATACATGGTCTTTGCGGGATATTTAACCCCAAATCGCCTTGCATGGAAAATGGCATATGTACCAAAAAATTTCCGAAGGATTTTCAAATGGAAACAAGACCAAATATTGATGGGTATCCATATTATAAACGAGATAATGGTATTACAATTCTTTCCGGTAAACCTACGGATAATCGTTATGTTATTCCATATAATCGATATCTAATGTTAAAATTCAATGCTCATATTAACGTGGAAATTTGTACATCTATTAAATCGGTAAAATATATCTTTAAGTATATTTATAAGGGCTATGACTGTACTAATGTTGACATTAATGTTGCTTCAAATATAAATATTCATGACGAAATTAAATCACATTTAAATGCGCGATATGTGAGTGCATGTGAATCAATGTGGAGATTATTAGAAAATAATATGCATGACCGCTCGCACGCTGTTATTCGCTTAGGAATTCATTTACCTTTACAACAGCCAGTATATTTCACTGCTGGACATGAAAGAGATGCTTTATTGAGATCAGAAAATAAACATACTACTTTAACGGCATGGTTTGAGTTAAATAAGACAGATCTAAATGCTAGACAATATCTTTATGGGGAAATACCTTATCATTATGTGTTTACAAATTACCATTGGAAACTAAGAAAAAAACGATTAAATGTAATTTCGAGAATGTATTCCGTTCATCCTAATTCTGGTGAACGATTCTTCCTTCGATTATTATTACTTCATGTTTGCGGGGCTACAAGTTTTGATTATTTAAAAACTATTAATGGAATTTTAATGAGTACTTTTAAAGAGGCAGCTATTAAAAGAAATTTGTTATCAGATGATAAAGAGTGGGAATCATGCTTAGAAGAGGGATCAATATATCAAATGCCGTCACAACTTCGGAGTACTTTTGCCTTTATCTGCATTTTTTGTCAGCCTGAAAATCCTGCATATCTATGGAATAGGTTCAGATTTATGATGATTGAAGATTATTTGCGTCAATATTCAGAAGTAATTGCAATAAACATGGCTTTAATGGACATTGAAAACGTTTTTCTTGATCATGGTTTATGCTGTCAAAATTTTGATCTTCCTTCACCTACAAAAATCCAACCAAAACAACATTATGATGCCCATGTTGAAGCTGCTAATTCAATCGAGCGTATATCTAAATTAAACCGATTACAAAAATATGCTTTTGATTTAATTATACAAGCGATTGAATTAGAAAATATTCCAGAAAGATATTTCTTCGTGGATGGCCCTGGAGGTTCTGGTAAAACGTATCTTTACAATACCTTAATGTGTTATATAAGAGCAAAAAATCAAATTGTATTGCCTTTTGCAACCACCGGCATATCCACTATTCTTTTAAAGGGGGGAAGAACCATCCATAGCGGATTTAAATTACCTGTACCTATCTTTGAAACTTCTACATCCCATATGAATTTACATAGTTCGCTAGCTCTAGATAATAAAAATAGCAAATTGATTATTATTGATGAGGTCACAATGATGACTAAACACGCTTTGCGATGCATTGACCGATTACTTAAAGACATTATGAAAAATTCCCACCCATTTGGCGGAAAAGTAATTTTATTAGGTGGTGGTTTTAGACAGACTTTCCCAGTAGTGCCTAAAGGCTCCAAAGTTGATATTATAGAGTCCTGTATAAAAAGTTTATATTTATGGAGTCATTTTAAAATAATACATTTGATTGATAATATGCGTATTTCATCAGATCAAGTTGATTACAATGCTTGGTTACTTAAAATTGGAGATGGGCTATCACGCAGCAATTCTGATCTTCCTACAATTAGTGTTGAAATCCCACCTTATTTGCTTGAAAATGATTCATTAATAAAATGTGTGTATGGTAATTCTATAGAAATTGCTGATATAGATAGTCTTTCTACTAAAATAATATTAACCACCAAAAATAAAATTGCACTTACTCTCAACAACGATATCATTAATATAATTTCAGGCCCTATCAAACATTATTATAGTGCAGATTCCTTTGAAAGCGATAATAAGGATGATATAATGAATTTTCCACTAGAATTTTTGCATTCACAAACTCCATCCGGTATGCCACCTCACAAGCTATCACTTAAGGTTGGTACAATTGTTATGCTATTACGCAACTTGAGCCCAAAGAAAGGACTTTGTAATGGTACCCATTTAATCATACGACATTTACATATTAATTTTATCGACGCTGAGGTATTGACAGGCACTAATAAGGGTTATCGAGTTTTTCTCCCACGAATAGATCTAGCTCCAAGTGACTCTCAGTTACCATTTACTTTAAAAAGACGACAGTTTCCTATAATTCCCGCTTTTGTGATTACAATAAATAAAAGTCAAGGACAAACTTTTGATCATGTAGGCTTATTCCTCCCTGAGCCCGTCTTTGCCCATGGACAACTATATGTGGCTCTTACTAGATGTAAATCTCAAAATAATATGAAAATTATGATTTTGCCATCAGAATTACAAGGAAAAAACATTCACACAAAATATCGTATATAATGAAATCTTAAATTCATAATTTGTAAGAAATTTAAAAAAGTCACCAACTTTGTTATTCACCATCAAATCACCAACTTTTCATCATCTTCAAAAAAACCACCTTGAGCAAAGAAAAGAAAACTTCTTCACCATCGCTAAACCATCTTCCTCACCAAAAACAGTATATTCTATTTTATAATTTCAATTTACACGTTTTATTTCAGGTTATTTACAGCAAACTACGAGCAAGAAAATCACAACATCATCTTCAAAAACGAAACTACATTGAGCAAAAAAAAGAGAATTTCTTCACCATCGCTAAACCATCTTCCTCACCAACAACAGTATATTCTATTTTATAATTTCAATTTACACGTTTTATTTCAGGTTATTTACGGCAAACTACGAACAAGGAAATCACAACATCATCTTCAAAAACGAAACCACCTTGAGCAAAGAAAAAACAACTTCTTCACCATCGCTAAACCATCTTCCTCACCAACAACAGTATATTCTATTTTATAATTTCAATTTACACGTTTTATTTCAGGTTATTTACGGCAAACTACGAGCAAGGAAATCACAACATCATCTTCAAAAACGAAACCACCTTGAGCAAAGAAAAGAGAACTTCTTCACCATCGCTAAACCATCTTACTCACTAACAACAGTATATTCTATTTTATAATTTCAATTTACACGTTTTATTTCAGGTTATTTACGGCAAACTACAAGCAAGGAAATCACAACATCATCTTCAAAAACGAAACCACCTTGAGCAAAGAAAAGAGAACTTCTTCACCATCGCTAAACCATCTTCCTCACCAACAACAGTATATTCTATTTTATAATTTCAATTTACACGTTTTATTTCAGGTTATTTACGGCAAACTACGAACAAGGAAATCACAACATCATCTTCAAAAACGAAACCACCTTGAGCAATTCTTCACCATCGCTACCAACAACAGTAAATTCTATTTTATAATTTCAATTTACACGTTTTTTTTCAGGTTATTTACGGCAAACTACGAGCAAGGAAATTACAACATCATCTTCAAAAAAACCACCTTGAGCAAAGAAAAGAAAACTTCTTCACCATCGCTAAACCATCTTCCTCACCAAAAACAGTATATTCTATTTAATTTCAATTTACACGTTTTATTTCAGGTTATTTACGGCAAACTACGAGCAAGGAAATCACAACATCATCTTCAAAAACGAAACCACCTTGAGCAAAGAAAAGAGAACTTCTTCATCATCGATAAACCACCTTCCTCACCAACAACAGTATATTCTATTTTATAATTTCAATTTACATGTTTTATTTCAGGTTATTTACGGCAAACTACGAACAAGGAAATCACAACATCATCTTCAAAAACGAAACCACCTTGAGCAAAGAAAAGAGAACTTCTTCACCATCGCTAAACCATCTTCCTCACCAACAACAGTATATTCTATTTAATTTCAATTTACACGTTTTATTTCAGGTTATTTACGACAAACTACGAGCAAGGAAATCACAACATCATCTTCAAAAACGAAACCACCTTGAGCAAAGAAAAGAGATTGAAATCTCCTTTTTTAGGTAAAATTTTCTATATTATAAAATTTATTACATTATATTTTTTATATGGCTACAAATGCATATGTGTTGTAACCCGATAATCATCAACTCTTGAAGTATAAATATTTATTATATTTTCTTATAATTCATATCTTTGTCTCTTTTTTTCTATTTCTTCCTTCTTATTTTCATTCTTTTTTTCATTTCTTTGCTTCCCTAAAATCTATCTCCTACCTTCACGCGGTGGGGAGTGAACAGTAATTCTGACTAACAGGAGCTCTGGTAAATAATGTTAGTATTTAGGGTGCTAATAAGAGATATTGTTTCATTTTTGTAATTTAAAATATAAATTTCGAAATCACATCTCATAAAAAGGAAAATGTCTGATTCATCCATCATCAAATAAAGGTAAAATATATTATTCATCAATCATTGAATAAAATAGACAATTCCTCTCTCTTAGTCTTAATGGGTTGGAATTGGCCTGAAGGAGGAGGGGGAGGGGTAAAAAGAATTATCGTAAAAGAACGAATAAAATTCTCATCCCCGTCATTTTTGACGGGTTATCAACTAGTTAATTTATATTTGTTAATATTTATTCGTCATATTAAATGTATATTTGTTAATATTTATTCATCATTTATCGCATTTATCTACTAAGTTATTTTATCAATTAAATTCGATTTTAAGTTTTCCGGCGTAATATTTACTGATTATTTTCAAATTTTTAGTGGCGTAATATTTATCTACCATTTTCAAATTTCTAGTCAAATAATAATTATTTCTGAAACTTCTTGTCCAACAGGGAAAAAGAAATTGCAAGTCCAACGAGATAGAGTCTCTGCCATCAAGCAGTAACAGCTTAAGGAGTTAGAAGAGCCAATTATTTGCTATTACTGAAATATCACAATGGCCTGAAAGAAATATTTCCTGAGAAGCGAGAAAATTATTGGATACAATGCTTATACCAAATTTTATTTCTCATTAGAATGTATTATTTAATTATACAATTATTTTAAGTATTTCAAAAACATGACATTGACTTGATTAAGAAAATGAGAATAGTGGAGAGCATTTTATCAGAACTCAAGGAAATTAGGGCTAATGTTGATGAAGAATTTCATATTTTATTGTTGAGTCAAAAGCAGAGCTATACGTGTTTAATATTTGTCTCCCTCTACTTGTAGCAAGGCAAGCTCATCGTTAAAACATTAATATAGGATCAGTAGAAGAGTATATCTTAAATCAGATACATTTATAACCCAAATAAATGAATTTTTAATTCATCATGCAGCACTTAGTAATCTGCAAATAACTTCCACAAAAGCCTTCCCAACCTTTTTCAGATGGTGATAGAAAATAAAATATTTGTTAGATTTTTATTATGTATATGTTAAAGTATCTTATGATGCCTTACTTGCTGAATAACTATGTTTATAAGATTAACTATGGTTAATATAGTCCCAAAAAATGTTGTGGATGCTCTGCATTATTTCAAACACATTTTAGATAAAATTCCCAATGTATTAAAAGGGTTTCTTTTTTAAGAAGAATAACAGAGGCCTGGAGAAGTACCATTTGCAGGGCACGGCCCGGATTTTTTTTAAAGATTTTTTACGGCCTGACCTAAGTTTTTTAAAAAAAATTTCAGGCCCGGCCCGGCTTTTTAAAAAAAAATATTTAGGCCCGACTCGGCTTTTATTAAAAAAATTTTAGGCCCGGCCCGGATTTTTTTAAAATAAATTATATTTATTTTTGATTTTTATAGCTAATAATAACGATTTCAAATATAGGCTGTTTTAAAAAATACAGCCCGGATTTGGTGTTTTTTAAAATAATTCAGACCCTGCTTGGGTGTTTTTTTAAAAAAATTTCGGGCCCGGCCCGGGTATATTTAAAAAAATTAAAATAATGTCCGGCCTGGGGGCCGGGCCTGCAGATCTCTGAAAAACATACCAAGAAGTACAACATCTGAAAGTAGATTGAAAGATTTGGATCTTTTGAATATTCATAGGCATTTGACGACAAGCACGAAGATTGGATTTTACATTGTAAATTTATAACATACAAAATGCAATTATTCCTAAGAAACTTTTTGTGTAAAGGCTCAAAAAATTCAAATTTCTATTTTGGGTCATTTAAGTGATTCTTTACATATAATTTTTTTATAATTCACATTAAATTAAATTGTGTATTAGAAATAGTTATTAGTCCTAATAAATTTATGCTTGATATTTTTAAAAAACAATAATATATCTTAAAAAATTTTATTATCCCCCCCCCCCTCAGACCAAATTTTTGCGTACGCGCCTGATTTCAAATTAAATTTGATAACTTGATTTTATCTCATTTTTTATTTAAGATATGTAAGAATTAAAGCAAAAAAAGCTTTTGTGGAAGATAATAACATTTTTTCCTTTACAATACCCTAATATTTATTTCCATTTTTACCTTCATTAAATTTACTGAAATATAATTTTACACAAATATATTATCACTTTTTAAATTCTAATTTATTATTAAAGCCAAATTTTAAAATATTTTACCTAAAAAACTGGAAACAATAAGATTAATATAAAAGAATTTAAGTTTATTAAGTGTTTTGTTTTCATTCACATGATATTTGATTTAAAATCCTGTGCCTATTCAAATCTTATGAATTCTAATATTATAAATGTAAATGTATTAACAGACCATGCTGGAATGAAAGTTTATTAATGCTTTGTTAACATAAGATTTTATTCTAACTAATTTTATTATACATGCTTCACAATTATTATAAAGTAATGTAAGATTTAATAAAAATATTTTGTGATAAGAGTTTGGCTAGACTCTGGAGTAAATAATTCTTTTTCCACAATATTCTCTAGCTTTTTTAGTGAATCTTAATCCCTTAGATGTTTATGAGCATATTCAAGAAAAGTATAATAACCATTAAGAGCCTGATTTTTTGTAATTAAATGATCAGATATCTCTAGGTTCCCTTCGTCATTCTCGGAGCTTTCATAACCTTCTATAAAAAATAAGATTAATTAAAATTTTAAGTAATTAAACCTTCCAACTCTAATCTTATCTGATTACAAATATCCTGATCATCCAAAATTCCATGGCAGCTAGCATCATCATCGTGTAACGCATATTCTTCAAATATGGGATCAAATTCATCTTCTTCGTTGTCAGTTAGTGCTATATCATCCTTCGATTCCCAATCAAATGCCATAGACTTATCAAAAAATTTAGCTTCAATAAAACATTTTATGATTGTGGTACTTGTCACCTCACCCCATGCAAATTTTATAAGATAGAGGCTATCATAGAGTGTAAATCTTTTATAAAAAGAGCTGGTGTCATTTCCTTCCATCAATGTTATCATTTTTCTCATGATACCCTATCTATAATGACATTTAAAAGATCTAATTGCACCCATGTCCAAAGGTTGAATTAATGATAT